AGCCAGCCGAAGAGGTCCAATTCACTGAAAACCGTTCACTAAATGTCTCGAAACTTTTCTCGCTTAAGGTACAAACTCAAAGAAGGACGCAGCATCCCAACCTACGAGAGGCTATCGGGAATCCTATAACTGATGCCCAGTTGACCGCTGATAGATTTAAATCTTTCCTGTCCAAAACGTTTAGTGAAGACTTCACGACTCTGCTTCCGACCATCTAAGCATTGACCGGGACAGTTCACGAAACTATAACTTTCACTTCGTGTGATGTGATTGTTGCGATTCGGCGTTTCCGTCAATCTTATAGTCCAAGACCTGATGGTATCCTAGCAAGCATTTTAAAAGCCGATGCAAATACGATTTTCCCATCCCTCTTATGCAAGATATTTAATCTTGCTCTTGAAAGTGAAACTTATCCTACCTTGGGGAAGGAATCACACATTTTGTTCATTCCAAAGCATGGCCCATCTACGTTATTTGATGACCTTCGGACAATAAACACCCTCCCCGCAGTTTCGAAGATCTTATAGACATTGATGAAAGATAAGATGATGTGTCACTTAACAGAAAATAACCTACTGAGTGTTGCTTAGCCGGGATTCCTCAAAGCTCGGTCTTGTGGCATCTGTCAACTCTTTTTCTTTGACTATGTTCTCCACTCTAGGGACAATGATTTTGCACTTTACACAGTATATTTTGATTCCACTAAGGCTTTTGATCGTGTTGACCATGCTCTTCTTTTCTTGTATATGTATATATGGTAGGGTTACAGGCAGAGCCCTTGATTACCCTATTTATGTACAGTGCTTTCGCAGATTCATACTCAAAAATAAAATTAAATTGCAGGCATTTAAAAGGTGATTGGGTCACAGTTCAATCCTAATCATAAAGCAGTGCATAGGGTCACTCTAAATTAGTGCGGAAGATTGTATATGACAGATTTTACAAAGCTGGCTGTGCATAGTCAATCTGTACAAGTCGATTTTGGTCGAATACTAGACGAGCAAGTTTTCTTTTAAACACACGAACTGTGTCAACCGTCACCATCTCGCTTGGAAGCGAGTTCCACGGTTTGACAACCCGCTGGCTGAATGAAAATTTTCGTCGGTCTAAACGCGTGCGCTCATTCCCGACTTTGTATGCATGGCCGCGTAGTTGGTTTGTTCGGGCGAACTCAAAGAAGTCCTCTGCTCTTAATGAACAACCCTGGCCGCGAACAATCCGGAACGTCCAGAGTAGACTGCAGTTTATTTGTCTATAAGAGAGAGGGAATAGGCCAAGCAAATTCAGCCTTTCCTGATAAGACAAATGTTTTAGACCGTCGACCATCTTTGTCGCTCTGCGTTGCACCTGTTCGAGTAAGTTGATATCCTTCCTCATCCATGGTGATGCTGCTGGCATTCCATACTCTAGATGAGGTCTTACAAAGACACTGTCCTCTTTCGGAATAGATGGTAAACATTCGAATTTTTTATCCCCTTTCCTGGGTACTCTTGTAGCGAGCGCTAAATACAGAACCGTCAGTCCCAGACTATGAAAATCAGGATAAGACCAGAGTTATGGAAGAATTAATAATCAAAATTCAAACTACCTGACAATCCCACTCATGCCAAGCGCGTCGCGTCGAGTTGTGTTCATTCCATTCAGTTAAACAACCAGTAAGTTCAAGAATGTGGAACAGGTAGGGAAAGGCAAGATAGTCTGGCGCCTCGGCACAGTAGCCCCCTCCGAGACCGGAGGGCGGCGATGACGACGCCGAAGGATGTGTACAGGTCTAAAAGAAATGAGTGACCAACCGATCAGGAAAGTGTACATGACGACCACTGCGAGTGATATATACAGGGTCCGTAGAAGAGTGAATAAATCCGGTGGCGGAAGTGTTGAAGTTGTTGGTGGCAGTCGGAGATGGCGGACAGGAGGGCAGAGGGAAAATACGGGACGGTGGAATAGAGGCTGCATAGGGGGAAGCAGAAGGTTGAGGACCACAGGGCTCATCCGGAGGAGTGTCAGGGACGGCAGCCTTGAGGCGGTCCACACTCACAACCTCTTCACGATTGTCGCGCTGAATGCGGAAGGTCTTCGGCCCGCGAGAGAGCACCCGAAATGGGCCGTCATAGGGCGGTTTCAGAGGCCGGCGGACTCGATCACATTGAAGGTAGACGTGAGAGCACGTTGCCAAGTCCTTCTCGAGATAAGACGGAGAGGCGGAGGACCTGGGAGGAACCGGAGAAAGTGTCCGCATAAACTGCCGGAGACGATGCAGGAGGTTGGTAGGATCCTCAGCTGCACCTTGAGGGGTTTGCGAGATCATCTCACCGGGGAGTCGGACGGTGGAGCCGAACACCAGTTCAGCTGCGGAACAGTCAAGGTCCGGCTTGAGAGCGGAGCGGATGCCCAAGAGGACCAGGGGAAGGTGATCCGTCCAGTTCTCCGGATCGGCCGCGGCGCGTAGGGAGGCCTTCAGCTGGCGGTGAAACCGCTCGACCATCCCGTTAGCAGCCGGGTGATAGGCTGTCGTCCGGATGCGGGTACAGCCTAAAAAGGAGAGTAAAGACTGGAAGAGATTAGACTCAAATTGGGCACCACGGTCAGTCGTGATTGTGGAGGGTGCACCAAAGATAGCAACCCAACGACTGAGAAAAGCCTTGACCACCGTTGGAGCAGCAATGTCAGGCAGGGGAATTGCTTCAGGCCACCGAGTGAACCGATCCACATAGGTGAGGAGATAGGAACAACCATTGGACAGAGGCAGGGGGCCTACAATGTCCAGGTGAACGTGGCTGAACCTTGCACCAGGGCCAGGGAAGGTGCCAATGGGGGCCTTGTTGTGCCGCTGGATCTTGCTCCGTTGACAGGCGATACAAGCCCGTGTCCATGCCTTGAGGTCCTTGTGAATACCAGGCCAGACGAAGCGGTCGGAAACCAGCTTTTTCGTTGCTCGACTCCCAGGGTGAGACAGATTTGCATGGAGGAGAAAACTTTGCGGCGGATAGATGGTGGCACAAATGGACGATGGGAAGGGGTGGATACGTCGCATAAGATGGTGCCGTTGCCAGTTGTCAGTGGTAGTTTCTGAAGTTGGAGTCCGGAAACATCCTCATCACAGGGTGGACCGACACGGCGTTGTTCAGCGGCCATCTCAGCGAGGTCTATCCCGGGTGAAAGCTGAAGATGCGCAATGGAGGGCCTGGATAGTGCGTCAGCCACCTCATGGCGTGACCCTTCGATGTGGCGGATATCTGAGGTAAACTGGGAGATGTAGTCCAGTTGGCGGATTTCCCGGGGGTTTCGCTTGTCAGTGTGGGAACGAAGTGCAAAAGTCAACGGTTTGTGGTCAGTGAAAACGGTGAGGTCACGACCTTCAAGGGAATGCCGGAAATGCTTCACAGCCAGGTAAATGGCAAGTAGTTCACGGCCAAAGGTACTGTAGCGTGTTTCAGCTGGTAAGAGCTTTTTGGAGAAAAAGGCAAGTGGTTGAGTCGAACCAGCAAGGTGTTGTTGAAGGACTGCACCTACGGCTACGGTCGAAGCATCTACCATCAGAGACAGCTGAGCTTCGGGAGCGGGATGTGTGAGTAAGGTGGCATCAGCAAGGGAATTCTTGATTTTTTCAAAAGCAGTCAGTGCTTCACCAGTCAGCTCGAGGGGACCTTTGGGACCAGAACGCATGTTGGTGAGCGGCAACATGAGATCAGCACAGTTTGGTAGGAACCGGCGATAAAAGTTCACCCTACCAAGAAACCGCTTTAACTGACGCTTCGAGGTAGGGGGTGGAAAGTCCCGAATGAGAGCAACCTTTGAGGGAAGAGGCCGAATGCCGTTTGAGTCTATCAGGTGACCTAAGAACTCAAGAGAAGTGGCTCCTAGGACACATTTGGCAGGGTGCAGGGTGACACCAAACTGCTGAAAGCGGTCGAAAAGCAGGGTAAGGTGTTGGAGATGTTCCTCGACATCTCGACTGGCGACGAGAACATCATCAATATACACATAAACAAATGAAAGGCCGCGTAAAACACGGTCAATGAAACGTTGGAAAGTTTGTGAGGCATTTCGGCGACCAAATGGCATACGAAGGAACTCAAACAAGCCAAAAGGAGTCGTCACTGTCGTTTTGGGAATGTCCTCAACCGCAATCCCATGACAATGCCTGTAAACTGGCATTTAATAAATTAAATTAAATTAATGAAAAGCCCGCACCAAATCGATCTTCGAGAAAATGGTTTTGCCGAAAAGGGCTCCAGCAAAGTCCTGAAGATGAGTAACGGGGTACCGATCGGGCATAGTGATATTGTTTAGGGCTCTATAATCGCCACAAGGACTCCAATCATCCGTATTTGGTTTAGGAATCATGTGCAAAGGAGATGCCCAGGGACTGTCAGACTGTCGAATAATCCCTAGTTGCAGCATATGGTCAAATTCTGCCTTAGCAGCCGCAAGACGCGCGGGATCAAGACGGTGGGGACTAGAGAAAACGGGAGGACCAGTCGTTTTTATGTGATGAACAATATCATGGGGAAATGAGGTGTCAGAAAAATGGGGCTTAGTTAGGGTAGAATATTTTGCTAAAAGTCTACGAAATGGACAGTCAGGGTTTGGGTCAAGTACGGAGAGCTGGTTAGAAGCTGAGGATGGAGGAAATCCTTTGACGGTGAGGGTAGTTGCGCGATCATGGAGGCGAAGGTGTCTGCAATCCACCAGAAGGTCAAAGGCGGCCAAAAAATCAGCACCAAGGATGGCGGTGGGAACATCAGCAACCACAAATATCCAGGGGAATAATCGCCGGAGGCCAATATCCAGGGAGAGGGATCGAAATCCAAAGGTTGTAATGGGGGATGAGTTTACGGCTTGAAGGTAAAGACCATGGTTTGGGCAACGCCGGTCGGCTGGCGTGGGAGGGAAAACAATAATCTGAGCGCCAGTTTCGACTAAAAAATGCCTGCCACTCGTGTTATCACTCACGTAAAATGTGCGACCCGTAGAGTTGCCAGAGAACTCGGCCGCATTTACTCTCCGGCCGAGGAGTTTCCCTGCGTGGACTTGAAGGAGCAGGGTGGGACACAGCTTCGCGCCTTGTCGCCATAGTTGACATGATACCAACATAGGTTGGCGGTCCTGGGGCGAGAGCGGGAACGACGACGGTCACGGTCGAAGGAACGTCGAGAGGGACGGGGGAATCGGCGCAGATGCAAAGCGGCAACAGACGCTGACAACTGGGCAATCTGTGTCTTTAGTTCAGTAAGGTCAGAGGTAGACACGTTGAGAGGCTGGGACACCTGAGCAATCGTCGGGGATGACAAACGCTCAACCTCCATCATACGGTCAGCCATCTCCGCTAACTTTAATATTTTTAGGTCGTCGGAGCCAGAGGCCAAGACTGTTTGTACAGACGTCGACAGACGTTCTAAGAACATCTCTTTAAAGAACGTGTCGTCGATTTTCCTTTTCCCAACCAGAGAACGCATGCGACGCAAGAGTTCCGACGGCTTGCGATCATCTAAGGCCTCCTCTTTTACTAGTGCGTGATAACGTTGCCGATCGGAGACTGATGTCAGGCGAAGAAGTTCAGCCTTTAACTTGGTGTAAGGAGCATCAGTCGGGGGATCTCTCAGAAGCGTCTGCACTTGAGAAAGAATGGTGGGAGGCAGAGCCTCGACCAGCTTATAAAACTTGTCGGTTTAACGTGTTATCTTGGCGGAGTGAAAAGTCGCCTCAATACGGAAAAAATAAACCTCTGGCGCATGTTGCCAAAAGTCTGGGAGGGAAGAAACAAGTCCACTGAGAGAAGAAGTGGGATCGTTGGAATTCGTAGAGGACATGATTGTAGAAAGAAAGAAAGAAGGCAAACGGGCGATATGCAAATAGAAAGTCGACTAATTAAAGGTACAAGCGTGAACGTCAAGGGGTAACCACTGTAGCGAGCGCTAAAGACAGAACCGTCAATCCCAAACTATGAAAATCAGGATAAGACCAGAGTTATGGAAGAAGTAATAACCAAAAGTCAAACGACCTGACAAACCCATTCATGCCAAGCGCGTCGCGTCGATTTGTGTTCATTCCATTCAGTTAAACAACCAGTAAGTTCAAGAATGAGGAACAGGTAGGGAAAGGCAAGATAGTCTGGCGCCTCGGCGCACTCTTACACAACGAGTTAAGACTTCCAATATCATCTCCAACCCCACACGTGTGAGGAGTGGAGTCATTCAGCGTAGTGTACTCGGTCCGCTTTTATTTTGCCTTTTCGTTAATGATGTACCCCATTTATTTCAGAATGGTAAGCTTTTCATGTATGCCTATGATCTTAAGGTTGCTTATCGATATATGCCGGCAGATCGTGACATCGTGCTTGAGCTCCTAAAGAGCGATCTGCAGGCTTTCGCCCAGTGGTGCCGCACATGGCGCCTTTCTCTTTCTTTGCATAAGTGCTCAGTCATGGTGGTTGGCGACGACCGTCAACCTCAACTAAGTATTGAAGGTCACGCCATAAATGTGCCAGGGGTTATAAAGGATTTGGGCGTTTCATACTCCAAGAGTCTCAATCTCTCGGAGCACTGTGTCTTGATAGTCTCCAAAGCACGTAGAACGACCGGATTTATCCCCCGAAACTTTAAAACTAGTCACATTAGATTGCGCCTTTATAACATGTACGTTCGACCCGGCCTGGAATATTGTTCGTTTTTATTTAGCCTCATGCGTGCTGCTGAGCAGAAGAAAGTAGAATCCGTCCAGTATTTTTTTACCAAGAGAATTTTAACCCCGGAACACCGACATTTGTCTTACCAAGAACGTTACCGGCTTACGGGCCTTGATACTTTATGGTTCCGTAGATTACAAAAGGGACTATTTTTACTATTCAAGCTCTTACCTAATCACACATTTAACCCACTCACCTCTTTAAGACATCATGTCCACTCCCAACGTAACAGTCACCGTGAGGTTTTTTTATTTCTTCCTCTGGCACGCACTGTTAAATATCGTCGGTTCTGTTCGGTAAATGCAATTGCTATTTGGAATAAACTACTGCTGGTCGGATTTGTGTTTAATCGCTTCCCTTGACAATGCCTGTAAACTGGTATTAAATAAAAATAACATCATTATCATCATCAGTTCGACAATCTGAGCATTTACATCCGAACTTTGGAAGAAATCATCCAATCCGAGGAATAAAGGTCTGTTAATAATTCGGCCGAATGGACTGATCGGGAATTGGAGAAGAAACAATGTTTTAAAGGCAAAATTTTTTCAGCCTCATGGTCTTGCGTAAAAATTAATATGTCGTGACCTGCGCTCCCGAATGGGCCTAGCGATGACACTGAAAAAATCATGAGACCTCTACAGAAAAGTAAATCAAGTTTGCTTGATCCTCGGGTGGGAAAATCGACAAACCGATCCTCATCACAACATTCAGAGCCTCAAGTAAGAATTCGAACTTTCTGGGGCTGGAAGGCGGAAACCTTTCCAGTTTTGCCAGACAATGCTTGTTGTCTGCTGGTTGCACTTTTCACTTCGCACTTTGTACATTCGAACTGTCTCTAACCGTTTATATTTTTATATCCCCGTTAACCTCTCACTGAAATCGGCCGTCAGATCCATCAGAAGTTTAATTACTCACAGGTTACCTCGAGATAGTTTGAGAACAATAGTCGCAGATCGGCGGAGGTTTTCAGCTTCAGCATATATGCATGTCTCGATTAAATCCAGGTCAGGAAGCATTATTAACCATTTGTCACTCGTTGTTACTGATAGGCAGCTTGATCTGCTTGTGCCTTACAATTGCAACTATTGTATGCTGGGGTTTGGTATTATGCTCTCAACTCCGAGAAAATTGTTTCACAGGAATATCTTCCACGTTTTCTCTTAAGAATGCGAAAGTCTTGGTTCACTCGGCCTACGCCGAGCGCCTCTTTCAACACTAGGCCTCTCGTAAGTGTCTGCACGTGCACATCATGGCTGCCTGGCATTCGCCTGTAATACCCGAGCCACCCGAGGGTATGGTCTTGTCTTCTTCTCCTTCTAGCGGACAGTCCGTATAGGCCTCCTTGGTGCTTCTAATCGGTCGAGCGTCTCCTCGGCGGGAACCCTAAAAATTAGCGCGTATTGAGTTCATCATCTGCGAGTGCAAGCGTACGCAGATATAATAGGTTGACGATGGAAAAAGTTTATTAGAAAGGAATATATCAGCTGAGGTAATTAGTCTTGTTCAGTCTTCTCTCCGTCTTCTTCCTTACGGGCGGTCCCTCGACTGGCTCCCTCACACTCTTCAACGGCGGTCACTAAAAGGCACGTGTGGAACACAATCAGTCAAAAAGTACAGGTAAGTCATGGCAAGGACACATTAAAACAACAAGGTCAGTACGTCTTCTACACGCACACTCCGTTTTCCAAACGACCAATCAGCTACAAGGCTGCGTCAGACGTGTCCTGACCTAAGACGCTGTGACGCATTCCCTCACTCATTTGGGACGCCGCCCACCCGACACCGGACGTGCTCATGTCCGGCTACCAACTATCTCCCATTCCTTTTCCAGTTATTCTGTACAGGATCTATTATCCACCCACTAACGTCTGCCTTCTCATTCCATTCGGGACCGGGCCTGAAGGCCAAGGTATTCAGGGTCTCACTCGCTGCCTTGCGTATCTGCAATGGAACCCTGAATGAAGCAATGTGTTCTGTAGATGTATAGTAGACAGAAACTTTCTATTCAAGTTTGGCTAACATTCGATACTTAGAAGTGGAGCAGACTCTTGGGAGGTCTAATAGCACACGGTAATCTGAATCGGACGGCTAAGCGTTGTTTTCAACATTAGAAATTTTTGGATGGTTAGTCAAGATGTGACCAAGATGTGACTCAAGTATTGGAGGAAACGAGGTCATCAAGCCTAAACGCATAATAGGACGAAAGTTTGCAGGTTAAAGTCGCCACGTAAAAGAGTAAGGTGTCCACAGAACAATAAAACCAGGTTTTGCCAGACAAAGTCAAAAGGTCGGGCTAGAGCACCTTCACTGAAGGAAGGGGGAATATAAACGCAAAGAAATGTAGTGCCTTTTCTTTTATGCTCGACTCGCTCCATCATAAAGGCGATTGAAGTGCAGCCAGCTCTGGAAGTTCCAGATTGTCTGTGGTCGTTGTTTATCGCTGAGACCGAAGGACGTCCTTGAGTTTGCGTGCAAAACTCACCTGTGCGGTCATCCATACAAGGTCAGAAGCGAACGCACGCGACTAAACCTCAGAATATGTTCCTTCATACAACAAGAAATTCCACGATTGAACTTACTATCGGACGAGAGAGTGACGACCGACACCACATGCGATTTTGAAATAAATCTTGATATGATGGTTTTTGACAACAGGTTTTTTTTACAACAGGATTACTTACAACCAGCCTTGTAATGCCCTTAGTCGTACACACTTCTTTCGTACCTAGTCGTTGTGAAAAACCATGATCATTTCCAGTTACGCTGCTTTGCGAAGCGGACATATCCTAAATGTTTGGAACTTTACACTTACTGCAAATATTCAAAAATTACTGTGCGTTAACATGGTCATAAAGGATTCTGCTTGTAACCCTTGGCATATGTATACAACAGTCTCTTTTAAGGCTTCCACGAGGTTCTGCGAGGTATAGATTAGAAACAGTACTCTCATGGGCCTTTGAAGGGAGTACACTACTATCCCTTCGTCCACGAGCTTTGACGACATTCAAATAGTCCGGAAACTTCTTCCGTCAAGTCAATGAGTAAGTTCCGATGCCCTTATCTCCGTTTACCTGATTTCTCCACCCTCATTTCTAAGATTTTCATCAGAAATCTGTGGAGCCACCTCGTGTTCGCTTTGCCTAATGCGATATATCACTGCAGAAATGCACGAAAATATCAGAAGAACTGAATATTTATAAATATCAATAACTTATGCAACTGTGATTGTTTAAACCAATGTCTTTCAATTATTATTCCCGCACTCGTGCTTGTCACATGTTCACGCTGCCGGTGCTTCCTCTTGTTTTATAGTCAGCCGTGCATTTAAGCGTAAGTCCGCATACAAACTCATAAACCGTCGTTATTGTTCGGTGGACTGGGCAATTTTTTTGGTTGTTTGCGAGACTCCTGACCTGTCCAACACCTCACACAAACATTTTTATGCATATGACACCTGATAGCAATTAGTCGCCCTGGGCTAGACACTTGCCAGCCTGTTTGACTTGCGGGCTAGTGCAGGGCTGGTAACCTGACTGGCTGACAGTGCTCGGTCCGTGCGATGAAAGGAGCTTTTCTGCTACGCCCCCCCCCCCCTTTGATGCTCGCCCGAGTGCATTGTGAAGGTCACGCCTGGGAGTCCCTTTGCGCGTACGCACGCACTTTGTTTGGAATTTAGGCCCGTCTGTCGACTTAAGTCGCCTCGGGCTACAACTCCCTCAACTCTCCCGAGAAGGCGCGTCAACCTACTGTTCCCGTGTGGACACTAGGATTGCTGAAAAAAATCCAGTCGATCGCAACACTAGCCCGCGACCGGGCTAGCCCTGGACGAGTAGAATGTTACCAGGGACGTGAATCGGCACGCTTCTCGCTGTCTTAACCGGCGCCATAATGACGTTTCTGTACCACAAAGTGCTAATAAATTGTTTATTATATGCGTACCGCGGGGTTAAAATTACCGATAACTTGCCGCTGTCTGGGCCTGAGCTAAGATCCCCGTGTGCATTTTTTATATTTTTAGACGCATGTGGAGTTCGCGGCAAATAACTGTACTCTCAGCAGTAACGGCCTCTCTAATTTACATCTGGTCCCGATATCATAAAAAGAAAAGGTCCGAGGAGGTGACTCAATCTATTAAGGTAGGCCTATGCATGGTTTAGGTTTGACTTTATTGGCCTTTACATGGTCGTGGTGCGTTTTGCTTATTCACGTTAATCTTATTTGATGTGCCCACCTAGCCGTCCAGTGTTCCAAAGTTTTCTTAATCCACTAACCCGTGACATCTTTGCCATGATGCTGTCACCATGTGATTCTTAAATGGCCAAGTAAATATTTTGCGCTTGTTTTTGTAGGAAAAAGGGCACTGGGACAGGTGCATTACTTTTTGACCTGATTTTAACAACCTGAGGAATTTTGGGACTGTTTTCCCTTGTATGTAAGTAGAAACTATGGCCTGAACTTTATCTGTTTTTGTCATTCATGGCTGTCTGTAACGGTGCTGGACAGAAAGTCTGAATCAGGTACACAAAAGTGAGCACTCAATTCCCGAACGTTAAAGTTAATTCGCTTGTAGCCCATGCTAACTCAATTTCCCTTGCTTCTTTTCTTCGACTTATGCTTAGCTCGACGTCCATATGGGCGGTTCGGTATCCGATCTACCCCGAGATTGACAGACGACTCGCGAAAGCCACTTGTCTACAAGGCTCCCGAGCGTTAGCAGAACGTACGTCGGTGCAGTGGGTCGTAGGTCGCGCTGATAGTGCATTAGTTAGCATTTCGTGCGTTCGTGATCCTTCCGTATACTTGAACGTATCAGGAATCACGTTGTACGTGGTCATGTAGTTAGTGTGGTAAACTGACGGCCAACCGACTAAGCCGGTCGTCACAGCACCTTTTTCATCAGCTATGTGCCTTCGTTTGTCGGGTGGTAGCTACTGTGCCGTTATCCACGAATATTCTGGTGTTCTTAAAACCGAAAAAACAAGGAAATTTAGCTTGGTATTTCACTTAAAAAGAGCCTAATGATAGACAGTATAAAACTTTGCCTAAGTTATTTCGGTCTCCATACGTCTCGATACTTTGTGGTAACGCCTTAGTTTGAGACAAGTTACAGACTTCCTTGGTGATGCGTCGCATGTGCCTCAGAAGTCTCGTCTATCCGGTTTAACGGCCTGACTTCTTGTGACAAGTGGTACTGGGATTTACTAGTTACTGTAGCCATTGCATGTCACGAGCATCTTGGACGCACCGGACGAAGGGAGTTAAGTCTAGTTGTTCTTACAGTATAGATTTTGAGGTCCTCCCAGATATCTTAAAATAGTCAATTTAAATGCTAAGAAGTGCTTACTCGAACGATTGAAGCCCTTCTGTAGACAGGTCTGCGAACGTTACAGACTGCTCTTGCAAGTCGAAAGCTGCGCTTTGTCCAGAGGTCCCAAGTTCCTGTCCGCAGCATACCCAGTTGTTACTCTGATTCGTTTCTACGATGCCTCTCTTTTTACATGTATCAGAAAACATCCCAAGGAAGTGCTCGACCTTCCCAGAACCCATAATGCAGTACAGCTGAAGGGCTTACCTGTGTCACCGTTCACTTGTCCCCAGAATCTCTTCCGGTATTCGCGGGTTACTATATTACCATTATATCAACCTATGTCGTCGTCCCGTCTTCGCCATCGTCTTTTCAAATTAGTGTCGATGTCCTCCCTTAACGTCATCGTAAGACCGTATTCTGTTATCACAGAGCGATTATGAATCCACCAGAATGCATGTGTCTGAGTTGGAGGTGATTGTGAAGAGCCAACAGCATTGGTATCCGCTCAGGCATGCTGCCGGCTTCAAAATACACATTAGCTGGTCTGTAAGACCACGGGGCGTGCTCTCCCAGCCCATCTTCAGAACAAGCTTTGAAAACTAATATACTGTAATTCTCCTGTGGGCGATCTCGGTCTATCCTCCTTGACAATACCTATTAGGTCATACCATTATAGCATTCTCAACAGGAGTCGAGAGGCATATTTCGTCACACATTCGTTGAGAGCGATCTACCATCTAATGATTAAATTTCCACGGCGTGTCTACGCCGTCATCCATGTAGTTACCATTTATTGGAAGAACACCCTATTGTCACAGTACTCTTGTTTGGCTTGCCATACATTAAACCGACTTACTAGCAATTCAGTCACACTAATTTGAAGCCTCTCACTTGCGTCCTTATCAAGTTTCTCCCTCTGTTAACTTCTCACTGTACGAGACATTTAGCAAACTCAAGTTTCAATTGAAAAATTAGTAAAGACTACGAAAAACGCTCGCACGCAGCTTTTACTTGAGAACTTGCAGAATAACGCACACGTGTGCGCGCCCACACAAGCGCAACTTATGGCTGTCGGTTATCTGATTTTCTCTAGCTCACCATAGTAATCGTGGTCGATACCGATAAATCAGCTGTCAGCTATTTCTGATGACGCTACGTCCCCAGGTGCCGACGAAGACTCGCCGCTTTCAACTGTTAGAAGGATCAAGAGTACATTCTCAGTATTCGGCACATTTCCTTTTTCTGGGTGTCGGGTAGTCTTATTCATTGCAGAACCAAATGCCTCCTTAACTTTCGCCGAGCCGTTCTAAACACAACGACTGTAAATCGGTTTGCTGGTTGCCATTTTATCTTACCTTACACCTTTGTCATAGATGGGAATTTCTTCGTAACCGATACTGCCGCACAACGCCTAAGTCTTGGTGCACAAACTGTGATCTATCAAATACGAGAGCTCTGCTCCCATTCTTGCCCGCCATGCTGCGATACAAAGTGCGCGAGCGCTTACTAGACCTAGTGTCGGTATCAAATCCCATGTATATAGGGCAATCAATGATTTCGGGAGTTGCGTTTGTCTTCAGGAGGACTTACGACGCAAGAATCTTTAGTCGCTTTTTCATAGCCCGATAGCCGGTAACGTGCGTCCGCTAATGCATGAAACCACAACTATCTTTCGCAGTCAACATGTAGTCGGCCTGTCCTATTGCAGTCTGACTTTCTAGGCAGTGAAATGTCGTTGGATAGTTCCAGATTATATATGATAATCATATTCGCCCTAGCCATTAAAAAGCCCTGATAAATGCCCATGCAGACGTCTTTCTCCCTGGCGGACTCCGTGAGTCCCTCGCTCAACTGTTTCACCTGCCCCTACACTTCCGGTCTTTGCGATACATGCATTCTTGTTTTATTTCAGTGTGTACAAGAAAGCACGCTACCAGGCGAGTTCACCGAAATTGTCGAAGTAAGCAAGTATTTCCAAGTTATTTATTCCCTAGGACCTCTCTTGTCTACCCGAAGCAGAGGCTCAAACTACTTTGTGCGGAGAGACTGACATCCAGGTATGTCTTTTCTTTTAATCCTTCATTTTCAGGCCCCTGTGAGCATAATCAAACTCGACACGCAGCTGTGTGAGCAGTCGGCTGCCCCTCACGAAAATATAATTGAGGAAACCATCCTCCCTCAACACGTTGCTGCAATGTCTTCGGTCCCCGACAGCACTGTAAAGGGTCTGGCTGCCCTTTCTATGTCTGACAACCCCGAAGCGAACGTGATTAGCACCGTCAACCATGAAGACTGTGACATGTCTGGTTCTGACATGTCAGAAGAAGTTATTACCCCGAACAGCTCTCGTACCGAGTCTACTGAGGAAGGCAAACCCTATGAATTTCCCGAGGGCATCTTCGATGACCCAGACCATGACATTGTCGAGGATTCCCCGGAAGTTTTGGGTGGCAAAAAAATACCAAGAGTCCTTGTCCCGAGCGATCTTTGGGCTGAAGCTGTTGAGAAGGATACGTGGCGCGAGACCTTTTATGTCCCCGCAAGTATGGGTGGTGTCTTGATCGGTCGTTTCGGAAAGTAAGCCTTATTTTGCACCTCACCTATTCTACAGAAATGTCCGTGAATTGAAAAATCAGTGGAATGCTGAGTTCTCCCTTAACATGTGCCCTGGAAGGCAGGACACTCTTCTACTGAAACTTTCCTGTCCCATAGAGTATAAGGAAAATGTCATCCACTGGATCACCAGTAGGTTCAAAATGCGCCCATCGCAGACAACCATTGGCAATCCCAACCAATTACGGGTAAATAATCCGAACTGACCTTTTTTCTTCGTAATACTGCATCCTGTGTGCTCTGGTCAATACGCAGTTGCCAGCAAACCGCCAACGTCGGCTGTGTTTTGTGGTGTTTTTGAGCTTCCTTTTGTAGCATTAACGCTCGGATAGTCTGTGTCCTTTCAAATTTTGTCCCTTGTTCGGTGCATCGATTTATACCGACCGGTCTTTAATTGCAGACATAATTAGTGGAAGGCTTAACCGCAATCGGCGTGACTGAATCAACCTTCCATGATATTGGTTCTAAAATTACTTCCTCATTATGCATGTTTAAGCGACTTCAGAATGCCTTGAGTTCATATTGGGTATACTTGTCAAGTTTATTGACGGGCTGGAAGCTATCGCGGTGCGCTAAAAGTCGTGGCTTAAAAGATTGCCAACTGACGGGATAACTTGGACGTCGCAGTCGACCGTGTGTTTGTTTGGAGTGGCCGACTGCTGGTCTGCGAGGCAGGCTGCAATGGCTCCTTAATGTAGCCTTTGTGGCACTCCCACTCCGTGGGATCGGAGCCGGACGTGGCGGCACGCTTAGGTGCGGCTTCGGCGGTACCAGCCATCATTCTGTTTGTAATTTGTCAAAAACCTGGTCATTTGTTGTGTGGACCAGGGGGTGTGGTGGAACGCCAAGGTGAGGATCCGTCCGAGCCATTCACCTACGCCCTCCCACGTCTCCGGTCTTCTTGACTCTGTCTTGACACCGGGTCCATGTGGGGGAGGGGGAGAGAGTTGGGTAGATGCTGCGCAAGTCACCTTACCTGCTCTGCCTTGCTGCGAATCACACGGTGGACATCGTCGGAACCGGCGGTCGAACTATCAGGTAGATCACATCCCGTCCAGAGACTACTATTAAAGCCGAGCCGCTTATCTGACCTAGTCGACAATCTCGTTAACTTCTCATACTTGCGTTTATACTGATATGAGCACTACTTTAGCCTACTGCGATCCAGACTGTAACACGTTTTAATGTGTCCCTACAGTTTGAGTTTGGCCCCCGGCAAAGTAGCTGTGATCTACTGTCTTTCACTGTTCCAACTTGTTACACCAATATCAATCGGGCTGCGGTTCAAGCAGGATGGCAATGTTCATCCTCCAGCTGATGGATGCTGCGAGCGAACCGTCTTAAGCCGTGATTTTTCGCGGCCACCTGCAGCGCTCCAGACCGATGATAAAGTTTCACGCCCAAGTCACCACCTGCGGTTTCTTTCAAAGGCGGCAATTGTCAACCGTCTCGAAGTGTTACAGGTCCGCAGCCCTAAGGCGTGTTTTGCAGTCAACTCTTACTAGCTTCGACGGTAGTTTATGACACCCGGGCTTTAGTCTCCTGCCAAAGCTCGTTCCCAAATCGTAAGTACTCCTGAAAACGGCGGAACACGATACGTGCCAATTGTATGTCCCGATTTACTGTCTGTCAAAATTGTTGCCAATGTCATAGACAAGTAGAATATATGTTCAATTGCCTTAAGATGTTTAACGTGAAGCTAATTAGCAATAATTAGCCTTATGAGCTTTTAGATTTCAACTCACCCTGGGAGTCCAGCGACTCCGTATTCTATGGCGGACTGCGTTTCCTTCAGAGATTTCAAACAGATCTAAAACACCGCAGTATGGGCGTTTACCGACTCTGTTACGTGACATGTTCGTCCCGTAACGGTGGACGCCCATGCTACGGCATTAAATATTCCCTATCTTAACCGACAGGACAGCGGGCCCATGACTCCATTATAGTCCGCCAGGCTTGTAAATGCCAAATGACCAAAGAATCTGGGTCCGAATCGCAAGTTCTGTAAATGCGGGGTCGGGTGTGACTGGCGACGGTTTCTAAGTCAGAAATGGCCATCCATACCTCATGTCTTTGTCGGTAACCCTCCCTCATCATCACTGAACCTGGAACATGCTGCCGCATGCTTGTCAAGCTCTGTGACCGAAACGGTGCATGCCGCTTGGTTACAATAAAGTGATAAGACGGCGTCTCCTTGGCGGGCACCAGCCTTGTCATCCCAGTCCTCGCCCGTTTACCGTTTATCGGTTTCAGTAACGTACTGCCAGCCTTCTTTCGAGGAACACTTCTGTTATTCAATTCAAGCGTTGTGCACAAGTAAAGATAAGTAAAATGGTCCTCTAATGAGGATTGTGTTGCCGTTTTATCATAATTTCATTCACCCAACTCCAATCAACAGTCTCGATGCTACCGTAGACCACTTTGCCTGGTAAACCTGAGAATTTCTTATGACGGATTTTAGCGTACTCTACCACTCGGTGATGTCACGCCAGTCCGTGTTCGGAGTCTTTATGGACTGAAGGAGTTTTTCGTCACTATAAAGGACAAGGAGTTCGACCGCTACGTGGCCATGCAGGAGGAGCTTGACAAAGACTACGCCTCCCTGAACAGTTCCAGGATGCAGCTTTATGAGCCAGTTACCTCGGGAACTGTAGCTGTGCTTCCACACAATTTCGGATTTGCACGTGCGTTAATTCTAAAGGTCCTCCTGACCTGGCCGCGTCAGGCTGTTTGCTTCCTTCTGGACCACGGCACCTTTGGTGTTGTTGCTCTCTCAGAGCTACGCAAGATCAAGTAGGTTCTTGACCCCTTTTAACATGCAATCCACTTGATATCTGGCGGGTTCCACTCAACGTTATCAATCACCCGTAATCCATGCACATGGCCTGTTTTTTCTGTTGGGGGAGGGGAGGGGGATTACTTGCTAGCCAAACAGTGTGCTGACGACCCACTCCTGTATCACTCACTAAGTCTTTTGCCGTGAGTTCTCGGCCATCTTTCAAACTAAGTTTGTTGAATGAAGGCCTGTCAGCAGCTAGTTCGGTAATCTGCCGCGACCGAACAATAAGTGAACTTTTAACCATGACCGTCAATATTTCTGTCGTTCTCGACTAACACGGTTGTTTGGAGGTATTCGCTGATTCCTAACTTTGGGAACCTCGGTTTTGTATGGGTTTTGTCGACTGATCGTGTAGTATATTGAGTACGAATAAGCTCTTTGGTACATTGCTCTTTAAGTTCAAAACAACCAGGTGGTTTTCTGTCCTGGTCGTCGTCACTCTGCCGCTATACTTTTTAACACGCAGCAGTAAAAAAGAGCGTCGATGCTTATCTCATGTGTCCGTTAAACTTAGTAGGTCGCGACCCTGAGCCTTACGTCAACGCTTTGAAGGGTTTGGACATGTGGCCTCCATTCATGCTCCTAAGTCGAAACTAACGGCGACATAGCCACATTTTCACTCTAACACTTTCCCGCATTTTCCGTATTAACTTACCGTGTGGTATTGAGATTTCGAACCCATTTTGGATGATAGTAGACAGCACTTCGGATTTGTTCGTACTTCCTAGATGTTTTGGCAGATTTTGAATGGTTCATATTGACCCAACTGTAGAAGAAACTCGGTGCTTCGGTGGGATTCGAACCCACGACAGCAAGGGGAAGGCCAACGCTCTAGCCGCATGAGCTAGAGCGTTGGCGTGGGTTTCTAATCCCACCGATGCGTCGGGTTTTTTACAGTGGGGTCAATATGAATTGTTTGTAATTGATAGCGTACTTTTCTGCGTTTCTCCCGTCCCCCATTGCTCCTTTGAAAGATGCAGTGTTATTATATGCGGTGTCATGAAGCAACCCTTAGCAGTGCACGCAAAACGTGGTGAGTTGACGTTGCCAGATAAAATTACCTTGACATCGAACATAACTTCTCCTTCGGCTCCGTTTTGCCATTGCGTATAAGTGTACTAATTTTGTGTTTTAGAGCGAAGTACATGAGAGTTCCCTTCCAGGCGATTCATGTGAGTTGGGCCCACGCCTTGCCTGTTTACTGCGACGTACCGGATCTGCATATTCTCCGTACCTTCTTTTCTTCGAACAAAACTTATGCTTACGCCGTCCGAAGGGAAACCTGCTGCAGGGCTTCCGTAGCCTTTCTCGAACAGGTATCGGACAAAAAGCCACCTTCATACATTGACAAGCTGGCTTTGGCTTGCCAAAGTGGACTGTACATGGTCAGTCCTCTGGGTCTATTCCCGAGCCGCCAGATGTGGGTGAACCGAACTAAGACGCCCTATTACCCATGCCCACATAGTGAGATTGACTACACTCAACTTGTTGAATATTACTCCGACGAGTCATATGGCGCACCGCAGCCCCTCGCAACTGGCCAGTCTCAAAACATGCCCGGCAAGGAAGTTAAACCACTCAACAGCAACAATGCAAACCGCGCCCCTAACAATACCGGCAGAGGCCGAGGCTTCCGTAGATTTGCCGGACAAGCGCGCCGATTTCGGGCCCCCGGCAACGCCAACCAAAACACTAGTCAGGCTGGTGAGCCTGTAGGAAAGGTTACACGTAGCAGTTCAGAGGCCAAACCAAAACAGCATCAACAACAGACTGAAACGGTCGACGAACAGTCTCGGAAAGCCAAACCCTCGAACAACGCGGGCCGCAAGACTTATGCCCAAAAGCGCACCAACCAACCCAATAAAGCATCGACCCCAGCATCTGCACCATCGTCCTCGACACAGAAGGTTTGTGAGCCCACCGAGAAGCACCGAGAGCAGACCCTTGTCACGTAACAACTCGAGTTTGCCTACAAATGCAGTCTAGATACCAAACAGTCTCATGTTTTTCAGCCACAAGGGCTGTCTTCGGCCTTTATGTGATTCTGTGCTGTTACGACTCCCCACTAATTGCATGATTCCCTTAATCCACACTTGACTATATCTGCTTGGGGTATTCTTGTATATGTGAATCATCGCCGGAGGGTGTTAATTTTATACTCGAAGGCAGTTCCTGTAACATATTTCTACCTGATACGTTGAATTGCTATGTAAGTTGTGCTTTTTTCTTTCTCGCACCACAAATGACTGCTGTTCTGCCCCACCTTGTCAACCGAACGTGCAGCGGCCGTTTGTGCATCTATCACAGCTTTCCCTCCCATATGCGCGCATGCGACCGCTAACAACTTTTCCCAGCCAGCGTGACTGCCGTGTTTTGTTTAATTATGCCTTTTCAGCCAAGTTTGGCCTCCAGTCTTTTTGGGCTCCATTTTTGAGTATCAGTAAATGAATTATTATCTTTTCTGCTCATAATTAAGAAGACTGTGACTTCGGTACATTTTTAACGGGTAGCTGACTTTGACCGTATCAGGGGTTCTATAACAGCCACGCGTTAGATGGGCAAGGTCCTTCTAGGTCTCAGTTGTTGCGTCATTGCTGACTTGGCGCGTTCCGGCCATCTCGTTGTGCCTGAACCCTCGACTACCACCAACCTGATCGCTGTGCGGCACGATGGGACGGCATTCTGATTGCCGCAGGGACTAAGAATGTGTTTTGCAATATTTATGTGGGTGCCCTTGTGCATGCTACGTCCGTTTTGTAATGCATATCTTTGTCCGGATGGAGTCAGTGCAAAACAGATCTTAAAGGTTGTAAATATTGTCTTGTTTTTTCATGGCGCTGTTGTCATCTAATGCGCCAAATGTCTCTGTAACCCACGCCGTGCCTACTGTTGCTGCACCTAGACAAGCCGGGCATCTACGTCTACTCGGTTTTGTGGACCAACTGCTACCGCATCGAGCTGCTTGCACCAACAGCTTGTTATATCGTTATTGTTGGTCTTGTCAGGTCGAACCGCGAAGGACAGGAGTCTGGGGTGACAACTGTTCCAGGTCTACCTATGCCATTTTCGGTCAACCGTACCGCCGAGCGGGCGCCGGCCACCTCAAATCGAGAAGGGGTCGGCTTGCATTCAGCCAGCTCGGCCGTGTACACCCTGAAACAGACTGCCGTTGGGTATTAGAGGACAAATGCGGTAGACAAGGAACTCGGGTCTGCTGTGTCTGGGTAGTGAGTGTACTCGGGTCACCACTATACCTACGACCCAGTTCCGTTTTGAGTCCGTAGAAGTCAAGCGCTGTGCAATAACTCGGCGGTCAGAGCGTCAACGCGCGGTTGGCCCTGGGCCTGCGTTCGCGTCTGCTACGACGATGTGGGCGTGAATGCATAAGCGTCGTGTGACAGGCGGTCAACGTCAGTTTAGTGAGCCGACTGCAAAGTTTATTCAGGCCTGTGATTGGCTGTCCTACAAGACGCATGCGCGTATGTTCTGGCCGCTCGGGAACGACGATCACATGACTCCTAGCACGGCGCAGGTGCCGAGGACGGAAGGTCTATACGCGCTCGAGACTGCAAGTCTGGTAACTGCTTATCCGACTTGATGGCACAGAGACAGCAGCTATGAAATAAGCGACTTTGGGGGCAATCGGTCGCAAACCAACGACGCTGAGGTCCGTCACGCCGACTGTCTTAAAAAAAAAGTACAGCGTCCGATGTTTGGCCGTCGCCCGGCATCTTGGTTTGATTCCTGAGCCAGTGCTGGGCGCCCGTGTGCCCAGAATTCCCCAGGGTTCGTACAAAATTTTTAAAATACCGCCATGACCTGCTCTGCAACGTCAACGGGAATCAGTTTGTTCGGCCATGATCTGGCGGCACAGGCTGCCGGTATTTGAGGGGTTAAAGCAGAGCTCTTGGTAACCCTATTTATGTACAGTGATTTCGCATATTCGCACTCAAAATAATGTTGCAAACATTTAGAATGTGTTCTTGTCACAATAAAACCGTAATAATGAGGCGCATCTGTTCACCGTAAGGCAGTACGGAAAGATCGTGTATGACTGTTTTACGAAGCTGGCTGTGGGTGGTCATGTTGCGGAAGTCAGTTTTTTTCAAGTCGGCCGTCACCATCGCACTTGGTAGCGAGTTCCATGGTCGGACAGTCCGCTGGCTGAATGAAAACCTCCTTCGCTCCAGCCGCGTGCGTTTACTCTTGACTTTGTAAGGGTGACCGCGTAATTGGTTTGTGTGGGCAAACTCAAGAAGTTCTCCGTTCTTAGCGAGCAACCTTGGCCCCGACCAATTCGGAATGTTCAGAGTAGACTGCAGTTTAGTTGCCTATAAGAGGCAATAAACCAGGCACATTCAGCCTCTCCTGGTACGATAAATGCTTTAGGCCATCGACCATCTTGCTTGCTCTGCATTACGCTTATTTGAGTAGGTCAATATCATTCTTCAACCATGGGGGAGCTTTTGGAATTGCATACCCTAGATGGGATCTTACAAAGATGTCAAAGTGTCCGTCGATGAGTTCAGGAGGGAATATTTAAAATGCACGTCTGATCCAGCGTTAAGTACTAGTTACCTTCTGGACCATCTGTCTACAGTGTTCTAATGGCGTCAGGTTTGTGGTCGTCCATTTACCCAAATCCCCGTGTCATTCTGCAGCTTCTAATGTCGTCCCGTTAATAATGTACTGATGTTTGGGAAAGGCATTTCGGTCGGTGTTAAGGTGTTGGACCACGCATTTGAACACACTAAACTTTAAAAGCCAACTGTTTGACCAAACACTCAGTTTGTCGATGGTCGACTGCAACTCCTTTGCGTCATCATCGCACGTGACTTCCCTCCGTACTTTTATGTCATCCGCGAACATGAGGGCCTTCAAATCTAGTTCTCTGATGCAGTCATTAACATAAATCAAAGAGTATTGGGTAAAAAACAGAACCCTGTGGGATATCACTTTCCATCTGCCAGTCCCGAGACAGAGTTACCGACAACGACTCTTTGCACTCTGGAAGACAGAAAACTGATCCGTTTAAATATCCTCCCTTGAATTCCTACATTCCAGATCTGTAAAAGAAGCCTGTATGAGACACTATCAAAGGCCTTTTTGAAGCCAAGAATATGGCATCTACTGGATAACCATTATCTGTGGCTCTTTTCCATTTCTCCTGCGAGTATAGGATACTGGCACGCAATATTTCGTTTTTTTAGGTATTCCATCAGATGTCTTTTGATAATGCGTTCCATTATTTTACACGCGATGCAAGTAAGACTGACGGGACGATAATTATCGCAGTCAAGTCGTGAACCTCCTTTATGGAAAGAGGAGATGGATGTGCACTTCCATTCTTGTGGGAGCTCGCCTTCTTCGAATGGCTTTTGAAATATTATAGACAATGGCGCGCACAATTCATTAACGATTCCTCGCAGTGCTAGCTCGGGAATTCTATTTGGGGCCAGGTGATTTGGCAGGTTTCAGTCGGAGTAATTTGGCTCTAACTTTAGCCGACGAAAAGTGTGCTACCTCTGTTGAAGAGGGTAGGAAGGGGGTGAGAGGGGGAAGGGCTGTAGGAGGCTACATTGGTTGGCGAACGGACAGGTGGGCAAATATAGAGCTAGGTTCTCGGGCAAAGATGTACTGAAAGAAATTAGAAAGGAGGGACGCTTTAACGTGATCATCAGCCTCCAATTTTCTATCTGCAGACCCAAGGAGGGGGATGAGTTCCTGAGCTCTTTTAGTACTTCGTGTATAGCCATATAGAATTTTCGAGTGCTCCAACGAATTTTGCAGTATGTTCAGTTCGAATTCCCTTTGAGGCCTGGAGGCCTGACGTTTACAACTGTTGGGTTTCTGCGTAGGTGCTCATGGGAGCCGGTTAGTCCGTAACGCCGTCACAGGCGATTTCTTTTTTTGCAACAGGCCTGTAAGTTCGAGTTTCTCCAATTTGAGTGGTTTGCAATTGTCTTTCTTATGAGATGACAGTTGGAATGAATAATCTCTTTCAGTAAGGAACTGAAAGTCTTCCTATTGTCGTTTGCTCCAACATGCAATTCTGTCCCCCATGATACTGCCGAAACTTCCCTCCCCGGGAGAGAAGAGGTCCCTTTCCAATCGTTCCTCTCCCACCTATCAGGCAGAATTGGTTTGGAAGACGGTGAATACTCGAAGTAGAGCGTAATGTGGTCGCTTGGCCCTAATGGCGGTCGGTCCTGCGGGTCTGACACATTTCCTCATCTCGGGTAAAAATATGTCCAAGGCAGTTGGACTGCTATCCTTCCCTGGCCCGCGTTCCAAAGGTAACGTTCTGGCAGAGACGTTTATCCGTTACCCATTGTAGTAGTTTGTGATTAAAGTTGTCTTGTTGCCCTTGCGCAGTCCATGCTTGCAAATCAATGTCAGGAGCGTTAAAATCCTTAACGATGAGGACAGCTTTCTTCTCATTGGCTCTTTACAGTTCGGTTATGAGAATGAAATCTTGGTCAGAAGTCTGGTTGGGCGAGCGGTATACCATGGAAGGGGTCAGTGTCCGACATACAGTGCGTGACCGAAATGCGTGGCCGAAATTCTGAAATGTGTTTTCGATTAGGAAGGATTACTTAGGTGAAGTTGTAATATTGATTAGCATTGCTGATAGAAGCGAACAGGCGAGTCCCAGGTAGCAGTTCAGAAGATGAAGATGCGATCACTGGGACAAGAAGTTTATTTGCCTGACGTTTCGGATTCTCACTCGAACCCATCATCAGATTAACGCGACGCTGTTGGCAATGGAGAACTCAGGTGCAATATCGCCAATCGACCGACGCATGGCGAGAGCACAAGAAACGGCCCTAGCCCGATTCTACGGTCTCCCAAAAGTGCACAAAGAGGGCGCTCCTCTCCGGCCTATCGTGTCACTAAAGGGCACTCCAACCTACGGACTGGCAAAGTGGCTGTTCCAACGTCTCAAGTTTCTGACCTCCGATTCGAACACCACAGTCAGCTCGTCAACGCAATTCTTGGAGAAACTTAAAGGAGTAAGTCTCCTGCCAAGCGATATCATGGTTTCCTTTGATGTCACGTCCCTTTTTACTTCTATCCCGCAGGACCTGGCAGTCGAGACAATCGAACTACTCCTACGAGAGAAGTACGACGAAACGGAGAATCGCCTCGGACACGCCCAAATCATCCAGCTCCTGAAGTTCTGTCTCAAGACGTACTTTACATTCGACGGAACAATCTACGAGCAGGTGAAGGGAACGCCAATGGGTTCGCCGATTTCGGGACTCATAGCCGAGGCGGTCCTTCAACGGCTGGAGTCGCTGGTTTTCCGACACCATAGACCGACATTCTGGGCTCGGTATGTGAATGACACCTTCGTCGTCATCGAACGGGATCAGGTGCTGACTTTCAAAGAACAACTCAACGCCGTCTTCCCGGACATTCAATTTACGATGGAGGAGGAGGAAAACAATCAGCTGGCCTTCCTGGATGTCCTCGTCTGCCGCAAAGATTGTGGTGGCCTAAAAACCAAAGTGTTCAGGAAAGCGACAAATACGACGCAAATACTGAACTTCAATAGCAACCACCCCATCAGTCACAAACGCAGTTGCGTAAGGGCGCTATACCGGCGTGTTGAGACGCACTGCAGTGAAATGGAAGACAAGGTTGCTGAATTACAATATCTTCGACGGGTAATGAGAGCCAATGGCTACCCGCGCAACTTTGTCAACCAGTGCATACGAAAAGGACACCAGAGACCAAATCCAACTAGCCCCAAATTTTGGCGGGTTCTTCCGTACGTGAATAACGTCTCGGAAGCCGTCAGTCGTCTTCTCACTCCACTTGGAGTTGGGGTTGCACACAGGCCGGAAGCAACCATTAGACGCCAAGTAATGAGGCCAAAAGACCCGCTGCCACGGCAGGAAACGTCTGGAGTCGTTTTTGGATCTGGTGTAGTTGCGGAAAAAGCAATTATGTCGGAGAAACTGGGAGATTACTCCGTACGCGACTTGCCGAGCACGCAGCAGCAGTGAGGCGGGGAGACGCTAACTCTCAGGTGGCGGCACACTCGACGGGACCCGGCCATATTTTCAAATTTCAAGAGGCCGAAATCCTCGCAAGGGGTGACAACCGCGTGAGCCGCGAGCTGCTCGAGTCATGGTTCTCAGGCCCGCAATCCATCAACAAGCCCAATGACCTCCCGGTGGCCTATTCCGTATTGCGATTTTCCCTGGGCAGGAGAATCAGTCACGTGGGGAGGGCGCGGGGGAGCAATTATCACGGTGACGGTGAGCCAGTTTGCCGAGCAATCGTCACACCAGCATCGAGCACGGATGACGAAATCGCGGCAATTAACAACTCGGACTCGGACCGCCAAGCCACCGCCGCATCAATTACGACCCCAGCGGCGATTGTGAGAACTGTTAATTGCAGTGCGCATACGGTCCCAGGGCAGCCACGTGCTATAAATACTGCACTCCTGGTGCCACCTTCACCTCTATCTGCGAATGTCTCTGATGATGGGTTCGAGTGAGAATCCGAAACGTCAGGCAAATAAACTTCTTGTCCCAGTGATCGCATCTTCATCTTCTGAATTGATTAGCATGCTGCATAATCCTATAGCATTTCGGACTCACCAGGATGTCGGCTTTTGGATGCACTCCTTTCTGACCTACAGAAGCCGCGATCGGCAAAAGATGACTACTTAAGTAGCATGCATTTGTTGTATTGAGTTTCGATGGTCTTACAAATCCAAATATATTTTATAGAAAGCTTGCATAAGTATATGCCTTCTTTTACTCATTTGGTACAAAATCACACTACTTTCATATGTTATACTCGAAGAAAGTGTATATTTAGGTTTAAAAAGTTTCTAATGATGACATTTTCAAGACCGTGCGATGTCCATATATACAACATCGTACATGTCCGTTTACCAAGGCTTCTCATGAAGTGCACAATACAGTCCGGATCCATTGTAAAATTTTATGAACTCTATATGGTATCTTATTAAAGGCATAGAGGAATATATGATTTTCCTTACGCGCAAATGCTATAGGATTATGCTGCGTGCTAATCAATATTACAACCCCACCTAAGTAATCCTTCCTAATCGAAAACACATTTCAGAATTTCGGCCAGCAATTCATGATATCGGTCACGCACTGTACTTGGAAGATATGGTGATACTTAATCATTCCACGTCCCGTACCGGATTATGTACCTCAGCCATAGCGGTCAGCAAGCAAGTGACATCAATTATGGCTCCTCCTCCTCCTCCTCCTCCTCCTCCTCCTCCTCCTCCTCGGTTTAGTCTAGCTCTTCTGAATTGTTGACATCCTCCAATTGATAATTCCGAATTTGCGATATCCTCAGAAGGCCACGTTTCGGTGAAAGCCATGATTTCTGACTTAATTTCATCAACTAAGTCTCCCAGCAGGCAAGGTTCCTTCAGCTAATGTCCAATTTAAAGATTCTAGAGTCCATCAACTGCTTAGACCTTTCACGCACCAACAAAACCGGGCAACAGGGAATGCGGCGACGATTGCCTTGCAGCCGAAGGATTGAACGTTATTAACTGGTCGTTCATACGGTCTTTTTAATCAATCAGGAAAGGAACAGATGCAACCATAAAATATGTACATCCTATTGCATGGTGACCGATCAGACAGAAGAATGACACAGGCACTTTAAGGACGCCTTCAGACCCACTGCCTCCTACGATGCCAGAAAGAACAGCGCGATACTACGACTGAAGAATCCCGCGCGTGCGTATAGAACAGCGCGCTCAATGATACGCCTATTAATTATTTAATTAATGACCAGTCGCGCTACGTGCAGTTTCAAAATGACTCTTCCTTGGGACTTCTTATAGGAAATCAAACGAAACACTATCCATCCCTCCCAATTACATTTCTAATAGTGTAAAAAGGAAACATCTTGTCCCCAATTTTGCGTGTGGTGTTGAATAACTTCATTCAGCATCAACCACCGGATTGGCCTTTCTTTTAAACTACAGACATGTTTTCAAAGCTGGACGGAACATTTTATTGCTTCGGTACCTATTAGCCCAATAAAGTTGATTGGCAGATCGTTTGCGATCTGTAATTGGGTTATAGGAAACTTCTAGGACAGGGTGGCTGAGTACCTCCCGGCGGCGAATGGCGATTGGCATGAAAATAAAGGAGGGGAAGATGATTTGTTGACAGATACACGAATGTAGGAAGGAATGAAATTGACAAGCTTTGATTCGCACAATTAAGAGGTCGGAAGATGACCAGGAACTCATTCAAAAGATCGGTGAGCTTGTCCACGAATTCAGGGTGTTCGGACTGAACGTTGTCTACAATGCTGCTGTACATTTTGGAGAAGTGCATGCCTATATAGAAGGTATTAGCAAATTACTGGTCATGAAGTGAGTACGGGAAAGGAGCGATAAGCAGACATCTGCCCCTCTCAGCCCCCAAGCTCAGGCCACTCGGTGAGTGACCAAAAAATTTGGGTTCAAACCATATTTTAGCTAAGTTTAGAACTGGGGGTACATTATCTAATGAGAGTTGATAAGCTATAGATAGTAATTTCAGGTCCCTCGTCTCTGTCTGTATTCCTTCTACGAGCCGGATATCAACTTGCCTCCGTTAACTATGGTTAAATCATTTTCCATATCAGCCGTCTGATGTATACGCATGTCTAAAATCATGTCTGAGCATGTTAAGTGCTGCATTTATGACGTCTAATTTGTCTAGCGTTCAGTAGTTTTCGCACGACTTACGTGTGAAATTCTAGATTACCGGATGCAGCCATTCTCCGGCTGCTGCAGGCAACGCTGGATCACGATGCCCCGGCAGCACGCAGTGTTGCGTGTGAAAGTGACGAGGTCATTGCCGTCAACTAAGCAAATTGATTGTTTTTCATGCTTCCTTAGGGCGTCTGGTGCCATAAAAACAACCGAAAGTTACAGGAGAATCAACACTCAACATTTCACGGATGATGACGCAAAAGGTAGAGACAACAAAGTAGGATGTCACGTATGCCGCCAACTTCCGCTGTAAACTTCACTCTATTAAGCAAGACCGTAGAATATCATGGGGCCTTTCCTCCAACGCACATTATTTATATCCCGAGTTATTGACTCAGGTAGAGGGAGTGGCGACGAAGGTGCCACAAAGGTGGCGTGAGTAGGGTTGTTATTTAAATTTGTGTGTTATGGCTAAATGGCATTTTAGGAACCTAAGACACAATGCGGTTTGTCACTACATGGCCTCCTCTCCTTAAAGAACAGATTTCGGAAATACAAAGTGGGGGTAAACAAGAAGATAGTGGACATAAGTTATAAGTCAGTGTGGTCAGTAAAATGAACACGACAATCAATGCGCATAGGGGTTGGACTTGGTGGGGTAGGTGGATGCGCAACGCTGTTACGTGTAAACAGAGGCGAGAAAGCCGCGGGGGATACCAAGACGGGTACAGAAATGTGACCTGTATGGTATGGCAAAGGCGGGTCATTATGAGCCATCTTCAGGTTTCACTGCGAAGTCCACATGAATTGCGAAATACCTGGTAGCGGGCAAAGCGAAATGGCTCTCATAGAACGATTGGAATGTCTTGCAAGCGCTACCGACGTGGGCAAATACAAAGGAACGGGTTACCATGACCAACATACGACTTGCCTTGCAGAGTGCGTAGAGGGATGGCCCAGAGATCAGCCATTGGTTGGCGCGACCTTCAGACATTATCAGTAGCATCCACATCGACTAAATCTTGGCGTGGTCCAAAAAATGTTCGGGGATAGTGTCGTAAAAAGTTTGGTGTCGAAGCACTGCATGTCGGTTTTGGGAACGTACAAATGCCGAGCATGACCAAGGTCAGATGCACACTCCCATGTATGTGATCCTCATTGGCCCTGAGCGAGGCTTGAGTTGGGGGTGGATGTGCTTGACTAGACCGCTAGATGGGAGGACAGAAGGCTGTCGTGTGTATGCGGGAATCTCTGAGGAGGCCATTGGGGTCATGAAGGGTACAGATTCTGACTGTTGGCCTCAATCTTTGCTGATAATTGACGGAACGCCCTAATAGCGCATCCATTTATCCAGAAAGACGCGAGCAACAGTATCTGTGGTTGTATGTAGAATGGACGTTGTGATTAATCGTTGTCTGAGAAGGTCAATAGCAGTGAGCAAAGGGTAGCAACCACGGATGTTGGCAAACGGCCTACATGATCTGTGTGGACGTGCGCAAAGCACGCATCGTGGGCGAGAAAGTAGCGAGGTTTGGTTCTACAGCCCCACTTGATTGACAACAATGGTTAGCTTAATAAACCAATTTTAGATAACATACCTAACTCAGCCACTGGCTAAATTAGGAAGGGAAAGAGAGATCAAGCAGAGCTTGAAGAACGCGCAGGGAAGCGAGCGAGGATGGCGTGTACATCCTCCCCCCACACAGCCACTTGCTGAAATAAGAGGATAGGAGGGCGCAGTCGCAACTGGAAGGTCACTGAGGATGTCGCGTGGTAATTCGCAGTGCATGGACACTGTAGTGGAACCGACGGATTTCCACACCGTCAGAAAAATTCCATCAGCAAGTCTAATTTCCCGCTCGCTGAATCGCGATAATAAAGAGGGCTCAGGCAGGGCTCGAAGCACGCGCAGGGATGCGAGTGTGAACTGATACCTGAAGTAACCGAAGCTGACGTATAAGCACTCCTCCCCCGTGTCACAGTCACTTCCTGGATAAAAATGGTAAGGCATATGTAAATACGTAATATTTGTAAAGTCCGCATATTTGCGTCTACTACAGTTTCTTAGAAAGCTGGCCGTATGGTATCACTCAGTTGGGGCTGCAGGACCAAACCTCGCCCTTTTCCATCCCTCTCTGAGGCACCACAATAGTTTCACATTCGCGGCGTGTTAAGCAGGAGCCGAGAGCCAGATTGAAATGTTTCCTCCATAATTCGGCCTTATGACGACTCTGATGAATGCGATAGGCGATTTGTGCAGTTTTTTTCCATTTCATCAAGCTTGTAAAAATCGTAGACGAAGGTAAGGGCGAGAGAAGTTTTCAATGGTAGATTTGTTGTGCCGTCCGATTTTTGTCTTCTGGCAGGCTGATTATGAGCAAGTCTACTGACGGGTATTGGTTTTCGTGCTGAGCAAAACGAAACAGTCGTTAAAGGGGTACATGTTAGCCCGGATGTCAAGATGAGAAGGATTGGTCAATGAGGTGAAAACATCTCGTCGCATCGCGTCTGACACTGTAGATCGCAAGTAACAACACGACAGATCACAGAAGGCTGCATCGGAGCTGGCAGATATGGGACTAACGTGAGGAGGTTTACCTTGAATATCAGATTGAATTTGCAGTTTGTCCATGTATTTCAAATCAATGGGAGGTTCGGAGGTGAAATTAGTGTCGATACGGAAAAGACAGTCAGCAACATCATTAGAAACGCTCTTAAGAAAATGAACATCGGTGGTGTGCTGAGAAACGAAAATGAGATAAGGGATCTGTCGTAGGTATCATCTGTCAGAGTGGATGAGATACGAGTAAGAGCTTTTTGGCCAGTGTAGGTGAAACACGGCCTTTGAAGGGTAATGGCCCGGGCTAAATGCGGATTATGTGCGTCAACTATGCCATTATTCAGAAACCTATAGCTCTCGCAGCCTGGTGTTCGCTGTCAGTTTTTTGGCACCTGGCTCCCTACGGCTGGGTATACAGGTCGTCTGCATGGTTGCCCAGTCATCCTCCTCTTTCTGACCCGTTATTTTTTTGTTGCTGGTTAAAGTCCTCGTCAAGTGTTTACTGTGGATCAGGGGTATGGCAGTGCGCCTAGGTGCGGACCCGGCCGCGCCAGCCACCTGAGCCCTCTCCTGCCCCCGATCTTCTTGACTATGCCTTGACACCGGGCTAAGGTGGGGATGGAGGGGAGAGTGCGGTAGATGTTGCGTAAGCCTACCGTCACTATAAACTAATCCACGCGCCGGCCGCATCGAAGGTTGATGTGACAGCGTGTCTGCAGCAATTTCCTGACACACGATTCAGGGACCGTTGGCCTTGGCAGAACCGGAGAGATTGCTAACATGAATTGGCAGAGACGGTGCAGGAGGTTGGTCGGATTCTCGCCCGCGTCACGAAGGGTTGGAGAGGTCATATAGTCAGGAGGTTGAACTGTGGCGTTGGGTACCAGTTCAGCGGCCAAACAGTCAAATTCCTACTGGAGAACCGAGTGGATGCCCAACAGGATCAGAGGAAGATGGCCCATTCCGCTCCCCGGATCTCCTGCAGCGCATAGAGGGATCTTCGGCTGGCGATGAAATCGCTCTACCATTCTGTTGGCGGTCGGCCTTTGGACTGCGTCCGGACCAGCGCGCGGCTTCGAAAGGACTGCAGAAATTGGAAGAGGTGAGATTCGAATTGGCATCGCCATCGGTCGTGATGGCCGAGAGGTCACCGAAAATGGAAGCCCAACGACTGATAAAGACCTTGAACTCCATTGAGGCCCCGACCTCGAGCGGATGAATAGCTTCCAGCCGTGGACGATTCGAGCCATACGGGTGAGAAGGTAGAAATAGCCGTGGGACAGAGGCAGGAGACCCACAACTTCCCGATGAATTTAGCTTATCCTTGCACGGGGGCACGGAAAGGTGCCGATGGGAACCTTGCCTCGCTGACGACTGAGACACCCCCATGTCGAGGCTTTGAGGTCCTACTGTACACCAAACCAGGCGAGGCGGTCGGGGACCAGCTTTTAGGTGGCCCAACTCACAGGATGATAGTGATTGTGCGGGAGAGGACCTTGCAACGAAGCGATGGCGACATGAAGGGACGGTGGGAGGTGGCGGAGTCAGATGAAGGGCCTGGAATTGGAGTCCGGAAACGTCCTCTTCAGAGGGGAGATCAGCATGGCCTTGCTCGGCGGCCATCTCGATGAGGTCGATCAAGGGAGAGAGTTGAAGATGAAGGATGGGAGAGCTGGACAGTGCGTCGGCTGACTAATTCCGTGATCTATTGGTACAACTGGTGTATGAAGTTAACTGGGATATGTAGTCCGTGGCAATCAGACCCCGTGGTCGCTGGCGTAGCCGCATATTCACGCCGTCTTTATATCCGCCTCACGTTTCCTGTCAATTTGTTGTTGGAGTCGCTCATGATCCGACCTTAGTGTGGTGAGAGCCCGCGGCTACTTGACGCTGAGCCCTTCGCCGATTGGCTGCGGGCAGACAAAGCCCAAACTCACGTACGCGTTTCGTGCAGGGCTGTAACCTCCGCCTGACGGAAACACCCGTTGCCACTGTCTGCTAAGCTTTGTGTACACGTTCTCTCTCCGCAGTAAAGCTTGTCCAATAACCCGGCCTCTCTCGATTTTGGTTTGCGAACCTTTAAATTTTCGACTTAGGGGATCTGCCGAAGGTTCAACTTGCCAGAGTACAACCGAAGGGCAAAGAGGCTTTTGGTCCGTGCAGATGGTGAAGTATGGGAAGTGTTTCGCGACTAAGTAGACGATAAGAAACTCCAGTCTAAATGTGTTGTAGCGTGATTCGGCAGGCGACTCATCTTCTGGAGAAGAAAGTCAGGAATTATTTCTGACCTGCGGGATGCTGTTGAGTAATCGTGTCGACTGAAACATTGGGGGTATCGGCCATGAAAGAGATAAGTGCTTCAAGAGCAGTGGGCCAGGGGAATAGCGTTTAAACAGTCAAAAGCAGAAGGGGCGTCTGCTGAAAGCTCGAACGAACGTCCGGGATGCGAGAGGAGGTTCGTGGGCGGCAGAGTGGTGTCAGTACACTTTGGGAGGAACTAATAGCCGAAAGTCACAATGTCATGAAAACGCTGCAGTTGACGCTTGGGAGCCGAAATTGGGAGTTCGCGGATGGTCATTACTTTCGAATAAAGAGTGTGGATGCCGCTAGAATCGGCTAAGTATCCGGGTAACTGGGGAAGGAGACAGCGAATGCACACTTGCGCGCATTAGGAATGACGCCAGATCATTGAAGGCGATCAAACGCCTTGCGAGATGTTTTTCGGAAGTGGAAGTGGCCACTAGGACAAAGGATAAACCATGAGGCACTCTGTCGCCAAATTTGCGGAGTCCAAACGACATGCGTAGGAACTTAAAGGTGCCAAATGGGTGGTGCTGACACCCCCAAAACGTTCTCTGGGGTGATGAGGATCTGGTTGAATGATCTAACAAGGTCGATCTTGGATAAAGTAGAATTGTTGAATAAGCCGCAAGCGAAGTTCTGGAAATTCGGGACAGGATAGCGGTTAGGAGTAGTGACGTTGACGTGCCGGTAGTCACCGCAGGGACTTCAACTTTTAGTGGTGGACTTGGAAACCAGGTGAAGGGACGAGTCCCAAGAGCTATCAGACTAGCGGGTGATGCCCATCCGACGCATGCGCTTCATCTTGGCCTTGGCAACACGCAGATGTGCAGGCGAGAGACGGCGGACAGAGGAAACACAGGAATGCCAGTGAAAAGATACGATGCAACACATTTTACGGTGGAATTGAGACGCTGGATTTGGGACAAATGAGGCCGGAGTATTTGGCGAGGGGCTGCTGAAATGGGCTACCCGGGTTACTGTTTAGGACGGAAAGGTGACGGAACGCCACAGAGAGAGGGCTACTTTAGACGGTAAGACTGGCGGTCTGGTCATGAAAACGGAACTGAATGCAGTCGACTTGTAGATCGAAAGCAGCGATGAAGTCTGCATCATGAATGGTGCAAGGAACGTCAGCAACAATGAAGACGAGGAGGTGATGCCGGAGGGTGATGCCAGGGGAGACGAAACGGGGACCGGGAGCTGCGATCGGAAAGGTGTTGGTAGCCCGGAGGAGGGGGGCTGGCGTTGGGGCACCGGTGGTCGACCGCTGTGGGGAGTAAACTCGGATGCGCACCAGCGTCAACTAGGAAACACCTGCCAGGGGTTGTCGCAAATGCAGGTGCGACTATGACTACAGATGCTAGGGGGACTGGCTGCAGTGACCTTTGTGCAAATCCATCGCGCCCACTGGCTCGTTTGACTAAAGAAGGAGCAGAGCGCGATGCTTCGACTGAATTGCGCACGGAAGCTAGTATGATAGAAACAGCTGACGGTTGCATTGGGGCGAGATGGCGGAGTGGACTGGAAATGTCGGACAGATGTCCTCGAAGGCCTTCAAAATGAAGGGAAGGCTGTCTGGTTTTGAAGAAGTGCTATTGTCTCCCTAAGGTGTACAAGGAGGGTGCCCCTCTCCGGCCCATTGTACCGCTCAAAGGCACTCCAACGTACGGACTGGCAAAATGGCTGTTTCGGCGCCTCAAATTTCTGACCACTGATTCGGACACCACCGTCTGTTCAACGCAATTCCTGGAGAAGCTTAAAGAAGCTGGTCTCTTGCCAAATGAGGTCATGGTACCTTTTGATGTCATGCCCCTTTTCTATCACCAGGATCTGGCAATCGAGACCGTCGAGCTACTCCTACGAAGCAAATACAATGAAACGGGAATCGTCTCGGACATGCTCAAGTCCTCCAGTTCCTAAAGTTCGGTCTCATGACGTACTTCACGTTCGACGGAACAGTCTACAAGCAGGTGAGGGAAACACCAATAGGCTCGCCGATTTCGGGATTCATCGCTGAGGTGGTCCTACAGCGGTTAGAGTCGCTCGTCTTCCAAGACCACAGACCGAAATTCTGGGCTCGGTATGTCAACGATACTTTCGTCGTCATCGAACTGGATCGGGTGTTAACGTTCAAAGAACGTCTCAACAGCGTCTTACCGAACATACAATTTACTATGGAGGAGGAAGAAAATAACCAGCTGACATTCCTTGATGTCGTCGTCTGTCGCAAAGATTGTGTTGGCCTAAAGACAAAAGTGGTCAGGTAAGCGACGAACACGACGCAAATACTGAACTTCAGCAGTAACCACCCAATCAGCCACAAACGCAGTTGCGTAAGAACGCTATATCGGCGTGTTGAGACGCACTACAGTGAACCGGAAGACACGGTTGCCGAAGTCCAATATCTTCGATGGATTTTCAGAGAAAATGGTTACCCGCGCAACTTCGTCAACTGGTGCATGCGTAAACAAGATGAGCGACAAAGTCGTGTCGACCCCAAATTCTGGCGAGCGATCACGCATATCAAGAACGTCCCCGAGACCGTTAGTGGCCTTCTTGCATCACTTGGGGTTGGAGTTGCACGCAGACTGGAGGCCACCAAGAGGCGTCAGGTGATGAGACCAAAAGACCCACTGCCACGGCAAGAAACATCTGGAGCCGTTTACCGGATCTGGGACAGTCGCGACAAAGCAACTACGTCGGAGAAACTGGAAGACTGCTCCAGACGCAAATCGCCGAACACATACCAACTGTACGGAGAAATGACGCCAACTCTCAGGTCGCGGCCCATTCGAAGAGACCCGGCCACACATTTAAGTTCGATGAGGCCGAAATTCTCGCGAGAGGGGATAATCGCGTTAGCCGCGAGTTGCCTGAGTCATAGTTCAGAGACAGGGGAAACTGGAGTGGCCATTTCCGGCTTACTAGCCGTCGCCATCAAGTACGCATCAAGCTGGTTCCTTCGGCAAACTCAGGGCAAGGTGGTACTGATTGGATGCACGGTGGTCTCTATACAACCTCCATGAGGATATGTTCACCCATATTGGAGAGGCTGAACAGCATAAAGTGGGGGTAGATTAATACAGAACCAGTTCCCTCTTATTCTGCCCTCATTCGACCAGTCACAACCCTGATCTGTATCTGTGGCCAGAAACACAAACATGCCTTCGCGCACTGCGCAGACGGTCCATAGACGGGATCCAGCAGATAGGCCATAAGCGTTCCATTAAACAGAATTTCACCAGTGCCTCGCCACTCCTCGTCATACGTCGCCGTAGGTCAGGAAATTGCTCAATCGAGTATGAGAGCACATCGATCTATTAGCTTCTGGATCAAAAACTTCAGTCTTCTGCAAAGCCCTAAGGATGTTTGTCTCAAAAAGACCTTGTCCACAACAAGTACCTTTATGATTCTTACAAGTGCGTAGAAGCCATCGTGGCATGTCAGTACCATACCTTAAACAATTTGGAGTTGGATGTCCACGAACTTTGGGCGTACACCCATCTTAACAGGTGATTAATAAGCTGCAGCTCCATTTGATGATAAATGCCGCCGAAAAACACTTTGTAGCCTGTACCGTTTACCAAAATTTGGATTAATTACTTAATTATTGTTATTATTAACAACTGGCTTGTATTAGAAAAAGTCTCCAGCTGTTTCCCAACTTGCTACATGTGTTAGCGAAGTGAAATTCATTTTGCAAGCGTGGGAAACTTCGAAAGATTAAATCTTTTTCGTTTCGCTGAAATCGGAAGTAACTGATGTTCGAGTAAATTTGTCTTCGTGTAATCGTTTTCGCCTTAACTAAACACTCAACAAATCTGCTCTGATAGCATAACATTCAAGACATCGCATTTGCTCAAGCACGGAGAACTAAAATCAAGATGATTGCCTAAGAAATAACAGCAAAAAGTGTGACTCACGTTTTTTACTATTATGCTACTTTATTTGAGAGAAATCTGTTAAACTGAAAGGGCTACGTTTAAAACCAAGTAACATCACTGATCAGAAGACGAAGCGATCGCCAATAGAAGCGAAGAGACGAGTCCCAGGAAGTAGTCTTGAAGAAGGAGACATGATCGCTGGGACATGAGCTTTATTAACCTGACGTTTCGGGTTCCTGCTCGAACTCATCATCAGAAACAACAGCAGATGCGGGTGATTCATGCACCAGGGGCTGCTGTATTAACAGAATGTAATCTCCATGCCACCACATTCATATGAACATTCACGGCTTCCCCCCCCCTTCATCCGGGATCGTTGGTCGTGGATTCACCAAATCCTGGCGCGCGCTTCCGTATGTCAAGAACGTTTCGGACGCTGTCGGCCGCCTTCTCGCCCGACTTGGGGTTGGAGTTACACACAGACCGGAGGCAACCATCACGCGTTTGGTAATGAAACCGAAAGACCCACTGCCGCGGCCAGAAACGTCTGGAGTCTTTTATCGGATCTGGTGCAGTTGCGGACAAAGCAACTACGTCGGAGAAACCGGAACACGGCTCCGAACGAGAATGGCTGAACACGCTGCAGCGGTACTGAGAAATGACGCCAGCTCCCTAGTTGCGGCTCATTCAACGAGATCCGGCCACATATTCGAATTCGACTAGGCCGAAATTCTCGCAAGACGTGACAACCGCGTGAGCCGGGAGCTACTGAAATTATGGTTTACTGGCCCCAGTCCATTAACAAGTGCAATGAACTTCCCATTTCATACTCTGTGCTGAAACTTCGTCTAGGCGGAGTAAATAAAATTTCGTGATTGCCACCTTGTATTCTGCATAAAAGAGCAAGAATGGCTTCTGTTCCCACATTTATAAGCTATCTGTTAAACAAAGTGGCCAGAGAGGGACTATCGAAAATTTATGCGAATTGCTCGAAAACACCTAAATCTCAGGAATTGGTCGGTGAAAGATGGTTCTGCGGAGGAAGTTTCCTATTTTGTTGGAAACCTTTCTACCGATTGGCAACCATGATTTGATCTTTCTAGAGATTCGCACAAGATGTGGTGATGGATTTGCCACCAATATCCAAGTCGTTGATTGCTGCAATTTTGGCACGTGTTTGGTGAGCATCACCCGTCAGCTCAGACAGGAGAACGTGATTTTAGCAGTTCACAAACTAAGCCACTGCCATCCCCTACGGGAATTTTGGACACGTCGGGTTTGCAGAGCCGGATGACATCGATTTGGTAGTTGATGATCTTCCTACACACTGGTGTTGTCTATTCAGCGGTTTCTGCATTCACAACGCATTTGCACTGCTTCCGAATACAGCAGATGCGGTAAACGACACGAGGCGTTTCCAATCGCTGCGGCAGAGCCATATGACGCCCCCCAATTCCAAGTGCAGCAAGAATGCAGCTGATGGCCTTTTTGACATAATATAGCTCTCTTAAAACTTGTAAGCCTGTGTCGTTTGAGCTCGTCGTGTCGACCTTTCATAAAATCCTCGGGCGAATATATATTTCGCCTCAGGGACCAAGCATTTCTCCTCTCATCTGCGTCCTGAAATTTGCCTTTTCGCATATATGAATGGATTTTGACTTGTTTATTTAATGTTCTCAATCAATCATTAAGACTGCGCGTGTGACATTGCGTCGAGTTTGCGTAATTTACTATTGCGAAGTCCACATCAAGCTGGTTTCTTCAGCAAACTCCGGGCAAGGTGGTACTGATTGGATGCACGGTGGTCTCTATACAACCTCCATGAGGATATGTTCACCCATATTGGAGAGGCTGAACAGCATAAAGTGGGGGTAGATTAATACAGAACCAGTTCCCTCTTATTCTGCCCTCATTC